CCTATAAATCAGCAACGTTGTGCAGAATTAAATTACCTCATTGCATTTGTTTCTTTCTTTTTTTTTTCCTTTTAAGTTCTGTGATTTGTTTCCGCTACCGTGTAACGGTGAAGTGGGCTGGTGATGGAATGAGAGATAAAAGACCCTGTAAACTGCCTCTCGTTTAAAATGGAAATGCAGGTGATAAAGCAAAACAATGCACAGCATCTGCTCCCATAGTGGCTGGCCTTTTTATATATATTTATTTTTTCTCCATTTCTTTTTCCCTTTTTTTGCCTGGTTGCTTTTGCCTACACATCTTACCATCTTTTTTTTTCCTTTTCTTCATCTCACTTCTCTATTTCCAGCTTGATTGTCACTCATTTATCATCATTACATGACAGACAGGGAACTCCAAATGATGTGTTCGCATATTCTCAAAACCAAAACACACAGACACACACACACAGACACACAGACAGACAGGGATAGTTTTCACAGCTGATGGTGACTCAGTCTTAGAGAAAGGTCACCGAGGTCTTGGCTAATGCAGTTCATAGATTTACTTTTTTCTTTTCATCCTCTCTATCCTGTCTGGCTGTGTAACTCCCCCCTTCTTTTTTCTCCTTCCTCCTTGTCCTCACCATGCCAGAGTCATAGTTCTTTAGTGACCGAGATCCAGCTATTTTTCACAGCATGTCCCCTTTGCCCTCACTGGGATAAGTTGCCCCATGGCAGTAACGTGCTCCCTCGGTTGTGCTACATGACAGCCTCTTTGACTCCTGTATTGTTGTACAGCTGGCCTTGCACCGTGTATGTGTGCGTGTCTATGATCAAGTTGTTGGAGATACCTGATCCCTTTTATTGTTCATTTGACCCGCATCCCAGAAGGCATGAGGGTCAGGGTGGAGTACACTGATACTTGGTACAAGTGCTTAATGTGTACTGGAAGACGGGGGAGAGAGAAAATGAAGGGAGAAGTATATTTAGCCAATGGGAGAGAAATATTTTTAATAGTGCCTTTAGTCCCTTACACTTTTCTCTGACTTCAGAAACTAAGAACTGTGTCTTTAAATTCTCTTTTGGGCTGTCAGGCATTTCAGATGGTCATATTGGCTGCAGACAGACAGACACACACACACACACACACAGATGTACATGGTTAGCAGGCCAAAGCTGGTTCGAGTTAACATGGAGCCAGTCACACTGTGTGAGAGCCTTACCCCCTGCCTGCTACTGCCACCCTCCGCAGTCGCTCTCTTTCTTTCCGTCTCTGTATCTCACTACTTCTCCAACTACATACGTGTGACAGTTATCTGCTGCTCTCTGGGGCCGCGGCTTAACACACTGGGTCCACATCCCCGGTGAAACATGCAAAGACGAGCGCGTCGCAAAAGTTGATCTACGTGGCCCTGATTAGCCCTCTTCATGACAAACAAGCCATCAGAGCAAAGGGGAGTGGGGCACGGAAGAAGAAGGAGGTGGAGGAGGAGCAGGAGGAAAGGATGGGAGATGTGAGAAGGAGGAGAAGAGCAGAGGTGTAGGGAGGGGACAGGGGTGAGCAGAAGACTCTGGGACCCCTGGGGACCCCTAGATCACAGCCATGCTAATGAGGAGTTGCTTTGCCAGCAGCAGAGGTGTCAGCTAACCCCTGACAGGTGCACACACACACGCGCGCTCACACACACACAGACACATGCACACACACACGTTACACCCAGAAGGCATGTACTGGCTCATGCACGTGTGTGTGTGTGTGTGTGTGTGTGAGAGAGTGTGTGTGCATGCAGAAAAGGTAGAGGAGAGGCTGCAGGGGCAGGTTTCAGTCCCAGTGGCCTAGCCTACGGGCGGCTTTGTTCTGTATGCTAATCTGTCGCTGCGGCGTTCTGTCGCCCTTGATGGAATGTTGGAGCAGTAGAGCAGACCTGAACCTAGAGACTGATGCAGTCCACACACACACACACACACACACACACGTAACAACTGTACTGTAACACATCACCTGCCTCCCGACTCACAGCCTGATACCAACTTTGCTCCTAGGACAAATTATATTTCACCTTTATGCCCTGAGTGTACTACAGTGGAGACACTTGTAGAGTAAAAAATCTCCTTATTTTTAATTATGATTTTTCCCTCTGAGCTTTGCACGTGTGAATCAAGCCTTGGTGAATATTTATTACCATCTACGTAGCGTTTATCTGTCGGTTCTCTTCGACCGTCTTATTGAACGCTAAGCTTTTGAATTTGGGTTATTTTTCTGTGGTCTTATTGTAAGCCTTCCTGGATTTGAGCTCTTGATGAGGGGCCTAAAAAAATGCAAGTGTAAAATAAATGCTGGGGTGGGGGCACGGGGGGGTGGGGGGTCTCAGGCAAAGCCTTATATTTGTAGGCATATGGTGCAGGCATTTATGTGTTGCCCTTGCATTCTCAGACCAACTTCTCCACACTGGCCATATGCATACAGTCAATACCATGGCTCCACTTCATTCACTGGCATTTTGTTTGTACTTTTAAGGAAAAATAATGGCTATAAAAGGCAATCTGGAAAGAATAAAATCTGATGTAAAGCTCAGATCTTAGACCCTGAAGACTGGGTTAATTGGGCTGGTGGTTTAGTAAAAAAACCAACCCGGGAGAGAAGGAGAGCATTATTACTGGCCCACCTCAGCTTCATGCATGTGCCAATGTTTTAATAACTTCCTCCAGGCCTCCTGGCCCTTAGCCCTCATTTTGTAGAGAAGGGCAAAGAGCTGGTCTTTATGCCACTCTCAGGTTTTTCTGTCATCTCTGTCTTGTCTAAAAGTCCGGCTGAGTGGACACATGGGCAGAGACAGGAGGTTTTATCCAGCCATCCATACATCCATCTATATGTTTGTCTCTACGTCTGTCAGTCAATAAATCATGGCCCCCCCCCCCCCTGTTTTCCTCTCCTTGTTTTCTTACCCTCCCCCTGTCTGCGTGCTTGCCTCGCTTGCTTGTTTAGGAAGTTAGTAACATTTGTCTTAGGTCGTCATTAGGCAGTAGCCATCAGCTGCCACTCTATTTAGCTGCCACGCTTCCTTTAACAACATATGGCTCGCCAATGTAAGATATGACAAGATGCAAATGTGTTGCCATAGCGTTGATGGTGTGGAAGGTTGTGGGGGCGGTGGTGTTGAATGATTGTTTAGCTGTTTGTTACGGCCCTGTGTGTAGACCAAAATAGATCAACAATTTTCTTTAAAAAAAAAGAGAGAGAGAGACACAATTTGGTAAATTAGCAGGTTAATGAAACCTCTCTTCACTTTATATTGATCCTGGGATACTGATAGGATTAGCTCCCAAGTCCATACACCCCTCTGGGTCCCACAGGGTATGTAAATGGCTTGAGTGTGTCATTGTGCATGCGTGTGAATGTACATGTGTACTCAAGCATGTCTCGCCCCTAAAGTCCCTCCACCTCTCTGCTCCTCCTCTTCTACCCTTCCCTCTCTTGCTCTCTTCTTCCTTTCCAAAGCTGTTAAGCTGCCCAGCTCTCCGCTGCCAAGCGGCTGTGTGAAGCCTAGCCAAACTAAACACGGGCAGGCAGCCCACTACTTGTCCCCCCCACACACACACACACGCAGTCTCTCTCTCTCTCTCTCACAAACACACACACAGTCACACATTTGTGCTCACACATATGTATACACACACACACACGCTTGCACACACGCGAGTAACAGGAGTCGGGTCATGTCCCACCCCACGCAAACAGTGCGAGTGATGGCTGCACCAGAGCTACACTAATAACAGAGAAAAACAGACAGAATCAGTAAATGAGCCCCTCATTAACTTTCTCTGACCCCATCTCCCCCGGGGAAAGCCAAACCGATCACACGGCCAAATCAGCTTCCTGTACTAGACACCGATCCAACATCAGCTTCCGCTCATCTGTCCCGCACTGTGTGAATTTGTGGTCGCACATGTGAGAGACAGAGAAGGAAAATGAAGAAAGTGTAGCAGTGTTTGCATGTGTGTTTAACATTCCATGACAATGGGTGGCTCTGAGACAGACAGCCATCTTAAAGACTTTTTTCTTGTTCGCATAATACTCGAGACAAGACCCAATTCTCCTCCCTTGTGTTTTTCCTTCTGGGCTTCAGGACCACCGTACCAACTTGACTCAGCTTGCGGTAGCTGCTGATCATAAAGTAGATGCAGATGCAAGCAGACATGGGACTGTGGAAATGCCCTTTCTGCGCTAGCCTGTGTTGAATTAGATGAACCCCCTACCCTGGCTTTTTTATGAGTGGCAGGCAGACTGACAGTGCCATGCTGCAGTGACTGATAGATTCATTTAGGATTATTAAGTCTCGCCATTTAAAAGGAGCAATTTGTTACTGAGTGACGTTCGGTCCCTTTCTGTGTGCGCTGTGTGTGTGTGTGAACCACAACAGATCACTTTACTGTACCAGTTATTAAACCAGTGACGTAGAGCTTCATTTAATGTGGATGTGGTGTTAAGACCAGAGGGGTCTTTACTGTTTACACACCGGCTCCATCACCTCTCTCTCTTCTCCTTTTCTGCCTCTCCTTTTCTCTCTGATGCCTCACGGTCTCACCACCACCCCTTACTCTCACCCATATTTCTTTTTTTTTTCCTTTATTGCTGTGTTTTTTCTCCCTGGCCGTCTCCCCTGTCTCCATATGGAAATGACACAGTAGACGAGATGGATCTGTGTATTAAAGCTTAGCTGACATTAGAATTAGCATAATGTGTCATGGCCTTAGGGCAGTACCTGCCATCTGCATTAGCCCGTAGACACACACAAGCACTCAAAATTTTTATATGCACAGAGACAAAGCCCATAGAAGAGCACACAAGAACATAAGCGCACAATTAATTTTACTCACCGTAACTTTACGCTCGCAAAACAACAGGTTGATTTAAATTAAAAATTAAAAAAATTAAAAAAAATTAAGTCAGATGTTTTTTTTTATTTTTTTCAGTTTGTTTGAACCGACATTAACATTTTCATCATTTTCTTGGCCCACAGATAAAGATGAACCATCCAGCTACATCTGCACTACGTGTAAGCAGACCTTCACCAGCGCCTGGTTCCTGCTCCAGCACGCCCAGCACATTCACGGCATCCGCATCTACCTGGAAAACCACATAATTAACTGCTCCCTCACCCCTCGCATGGCTCTGCCTCCACCACCTGGTGCTGATGCTCTGCCTCGTTCTCCTCTTCCTACCTTCCTTGGTGACACCAACAATCCATTTCACCTTCTTCGCATGGCCGCGCCCCTGCTCAGGGAACATCCTCCGCCCCCAGGTTACATGGAGACACGGCTGCCCGCAACGCCACCATTTGTAAGTCCTCCACCTCCCCCAAGACCTCCACTGGGGCCAGAGGAGTTGGGGCTGCTATCCCAGCACCCCAGTGCCTTTGAGAGGGTAATGCGAATGACACCTATGGAACCTCCTTCCATGGACTTCTCCAGACGTCTTAGAGAACTGGCAGGCAACACAACCAATAGTGGTGGGCCCACACCCCCCCTCTCACCCAACCGTATGCCACCCACACACCGTCTTCTGAGTCCTACGCTTTTTCAGCCTGGTGCCAAGCCCCCAGCATTTCTTACCTACACCCAACAACCACCCACTCCCCAGGGGGGCCATGGTTCAAGCAGCCCTCCTGAGGCCCAAGGTCAAAACCAGGCTCCAGGGAAAGTTAAATCCTGTGAGTTCTGTGGCAAGATTTTCAAGTTCCAGAGCAACCTGATTGTCCACAGGCGCAGTCACACTGGAGAGCGGCCATACAAGTGTCATCTATGTGATCATGCCTGTTCCCAGGCCAGCAAGCTCAAAAGGCATATGAAGACACATATGCACAACAAGCCTGGCTCTATGACTGGATCTCCAGAGCAGGAAAACAGAGAAGAGGGAGGGGAAGACGGAGAAAAAAACAGAGAGGCAGAGCCAAGAGTGATGGGAATGGACAACGACGAGGAGGAAGATGAGGAAGAGGAAGAAGAAGAGGAAGAAGAAGAGGAGGAGGAGGAACTGAAGAACGGATGTCGTCCAGATTCCAATCTGAGTGAAGACTCGCAGGAGTTTGGCCAGAACAGAGAAAATGGCCCAACACAGTCTCCTGAACAGAAGCTCCTAAGCAGGGACAGAATAAACGACAGTGGTGGCGTGAGCATCATGCACCCGTACAACCACATGGACAATCACCTTCGATTTAATCCCAATAAGAGAAATCTGGAGAGACAGCCTAACGGAGACGGTGGAGAGAAAGACAAAGAGAAAACGGGAGGGAGCAGGAGAGAGAGCGGGATGAGCACGAGAAGGATCAGAGGCCTATGATGAATGGCAGAGTAAGTGTATCAGAAGCAGATTCCTTTCCTGGGCTGTTCCAGCGTCGGCCCACCCCTATCACCAGCCTGAGTCCCTCCAACAAAAGGATCAAGATTGAGAAGGAACAGCTGGAGCTTCCCCCAACCATACCACTTATCTCTCCAGAGAACGTCTACTCTCAGCTCCTGGCTGGTTACGCAGCTTCACGCCACTTCATTAGAGAACCCTTTTTGGGGTTCACTGATTCCCGTCAGTCACCATTTGCCACCTCCTCAGAGCATTCCTCTTCAGAGACAGGGAGCCTTCGTTTCTCCACCCCACCTGGTGAGCTGATGGAAGGAGGGAGCGCCTCAGGCCGCAGCGGCAGCAGCACTCCCCTTCTCCTGCGCGGGCCCGGACCAGGAAGGCCCCCGAGCTCCAAGGACAGACGAAACGATACGTGCGAGTACTGCGGCAAGGTGTTCAAGAACTGCAGTAACCTCACGGTGCATCGACGCAGCCACACAGGAGAGCGGCCCTACAAGTGTGACCTGTGCAGCTACGCTTGTGCCCAGAGCTCCAAGTTGACACGCCACATGAAGACCCACGGGCAGTTTGGAAAAGAGGTGTACCGCTGCGACATCTGCCACATGCCCTTCAGTGTTTACAGCACACTGGAGAAACACATGAAAAAGTGGCACGGTGAACATTTGATGGCCAGTGGAGTCAAACTAGAGCAGGCGGACAGAGGTTAAGGCAGCAACTGTTAGATATACAGAGTGTATACAGAGAGCATACACAGACATGCGCACCACATGCACTCACACCTACACACACACACACACACTGAATCCTTATAACCACTTCTTTAGCTATGGGGCTTGGCTGGATGATCTCTTTCTCTTAAAAAAAAATTGAGACTGATTGATGTTCATCTTTTTCATTTGTCACAGAAACTGCCACACCTGAGAATATAAACAAAGGAAACCTAAATGAGAATTTGTCCAGAATGACCATTTTGGTGTTTCCTGGCAAACTGTCTGAGGATTTTGTTTTTCAGTTTGGAATCCATGGAGCCTTTCTACTGTGCAATAATTTCTTTATTTATTGGATTTTTGTAATGATATTTGGCATGTGCAGATTCATCTTTGTGGGATTTGATATGGAGTTAGTTTTGAAATGTGCTCAAAGTTAGGAAATTTTTTGCGTCTAACATATATCTGGAAAGACTCCCTAAAATTAAATATTCTTTTTTTTTTCCTTTATGGAAGCCTATTATCATGTGAAAGTAATGTTTTATGAAGCCATTAGCTTTTAAAAGTAAAAAATATTGTTTTCTATCTTAGCTGCAGCAGCGGACTACAATCCATTCCCTCACACAGGCCTGAAGCACTGAATGTCAACCTGACAAAAAATAACACATGCTGGATTTTTTGGAAAAATCCAACGTGTCCTGTAGACCTGATACGATGCTCTTGATTTATTCAGGGATTTTTCGCCATCCCCCTTTTTAAAAAATGGCATGTGAATATTTAAAAAAAAAGAGTAGTTACTGTATTGCTGTCCTCGCTTCAGTCAGGACATAAATAAAGGTTGCACTTCACAGAGGGACCCTTACTGATGCTCAGAACATTCCCATTGTAGGATTAAACCAACATATTTAATATGTTGAATATTTTGAGTCTAGTTGTGATTAATGTGAGAAAAAGAAGAGTCCTGTTTATGGTCTGTAAATATATTCTTTTTTTTAAAATGTATGTTTAAGTAGCCCTGATCTTACATTAAAAAGGCCTAAAATTTAACAATCAAAAGACCAGCTGCTTGCATCATCCACCATAAATGCTAAGTGTAACCATCATCCACTGTTGCTTTTTCCGATCCACACGATTACCACTCACACACCTATCTAATGTGTGCTTACTCTGAAGAGATTTGTTAACTGTAAGCTACTTCAACAATTGTAACTATTTCTTAGTCATTCTCCATCTCCATCTAGTGTCGGACATGGCGTCTGTCTTTCTCCGACGAGCACTGACTCTACCATGCCCACCTCCCCGCCTCTCCCCTCTAGGATGCACAAAATGGTTTCAAATGAAATTCATATCAATATGTGTTAGCGCGTGTGTTCTTGGTACTACAGCGCGCTCTAAGCCTCTCTCCGATGCCGTCTTTTCACAGTTCACTAGCTCAGATTCATGCATTAGTGAGGCTTTTAAAAGCAAGCCGGTTCATTCGCCTCACAGAGTGATATGGGTTTAACTCCCACTAACAGATTTTGAGACAGTATGCATGTTCATGACTTTTGGGGATTACGGTTTTTATTTTCTGCATCATTCATTCTGAAATGAATCCCGTTAAAAAAAAAAGAGAGCCTATAGGAGTTATGACCATTTTGAGCACAGTAGCATCAGGTGACCTTGTGTATGGGATTTTCTTTTAGTAAAAAAACTCAAGAACGGGAGCTATGGAATGAAGAAGTGTGAGAAAGGAAAAAAGAGAGGAAGCGAGACCTTTTCCAGAGAAAAGAGTCATTCAAATGAAATTGAAAGCATATGAAAATTATATTTTGTTGGTTTCCTTTGGGTTTTTTTGTTTTGCTTTTGTACCCAAATGCACATCGAGTGGCCACATCTTGTAATGGACCATCAGAGTAGACACAGAACGAGCGTCAGAGGGAGGGAGGAAAACCCACATAAAAGGAGACAGAGACAACATCCTTCATCCTACTACTGCTATTCTCAGTTGTCAGAATCATCCTTACCTGAGAGTTTGTCCTGCCTCCCTGGCCTGTTGTCAGGATCTGTGTGTGGAAGACGACGTACCTGCAATGAAAATTCCTTTTTTTTTAATTTGCATTTTTCTTTTGACAAGGGAAATGACATTACGGTCAGAGCAGCTCTCCATAAGCTATTCACTTACCACATATTCCTACATATTCCTGTGAATTAACATGAGGCGTGAAATCAGCAGAAGAGCAACATTCAGCTTGCTAACAGATGTTGACGCACAAGTGCAAAATACCCCGGTCCTGTTTTTAATCCCACAGCGCCATAAAAGTAGGGAAATTTATCAGATAGAAATGATGGTATTGATCCAGACCACACATGGACTTTAAGTCTTACAATATGTTTACAGTGTTGAAGTATGCCATTAATGAAATACTCTGTGTAAGTGTTTAAAATGATAATAAAGTATTGTTTTTCTCCAATGTTCTTTCAAATGTTTTTGAATGCCATAGCAGTTTTGTATGATTATCCTGGTGGAGGGATTTTATCTTCATAAATATGTTTCTGTATAATTACTTGTTCGCTGTATGGGAAGATGATTTTTAAAATAATGTAATATTGCAGAATCATGCCAGATTATTATTATTTTCCTAATAAGAGTGGTGCCATTAGACTTACGGTCTCTTTAAGTTTTTTTTTTTTTTTTGGTGAAGCTATCCCTCAAGGATGTAAAACAAAATGATTAAAAAAATATTCAAATTAAATGAGTGTACTTAAAAGCTGAACCTTATGCTTGGGAATATTATGGTTTGTGAGGGAATGTTTGTTTTTCTTTACTTTCTATGAGACATCCATGGACATTATTGAATTTCTTTGCTGTTTTTTCTTGTGGTTGGCTGAAGGTCTTGTGATGGCACTTGCAGCTGTAACTTTAAATACATTTTCATATTTCACTTTTCACGTACACTCTTTGTACAAAATAGTTTCCTTGTTCCTTTGGAGAGGAGTGCATCATTGTGAAAAAAAGTGATTTCAGAGCAGTACACATCTGCTGTTTTGAACATATATGTATTTTTGTAATGTGTTGAAAAATCAATACAAAAAGCCAACACTTCAATAAATGTTGCAATTGCTCTATGACTGAAAGGATTTGTTCTGTTTATTTCACCTGATTCGCTCTAGCGTAGTACATGCTCATTAATAATTTTCTTTTGCCTAATGGTAGTTGATAATTGTTTTCTATATTATAGAATTTGAAATATTCATAAATAATAAATATAAAATATCGTTTAAAATATAGACAGTACATTTATTAATATTATCATCTTTTACCTCTTTTCAAGGTGGCGGAGGAGCTGGAGCCAATCCATGGAGTCATCGACCAGGTTGTCAGTTTCTCAGTCCATTAAAGGCCACATGTAGAGACAAAAATGTGGTTACATTACATTCGTATGTATAGTCAATTTGAATTGTCCAGTTAACCTAATCTACAGCATTACAGGCCATTAGTTACACAACATCATCTTTTTGCTGTTAGGCAAGAGCACTTACCACGATGTTAGCGTTGACGCATCAATGCACATATAATACTTAATACATGATTCTCCCAAACCCTCAAACTTAAATGCTGCTTCAACAAGCAGCTGCAAATTCAGATAGTTAATACAGTGAATTACACATGAAATAAATGGCAGATCCATCCAATTTCATTTAAATAAATAACCTTGGATTAATTCAAATTAATATTTACATTTAATATATATGTGACAGATATTACATCCTTTCCTCAACAGGAGACTTGAGTTATTTGGGGTCATATATTTAGATTTATTTGGGATGCTATTGGCTGACAGTGTCTTGAGCTTCATGAATGTTCTTGGCATGGAATCGGGGACCTATCAGGTATGTCTTGACATCAAGCCAATGGCAGTCAACCTGTCCGGACTTGAGCCCTTACTGCCATAACATAGCAGTGAATACACGGTGTGTGTGTGTGAGGACAAAGAGAAAGAAGAAACACAACTATAGAATAGAGATAGAGAAGAAAAAAGAAAGCTGGTCCAGAGCTGGTTTTGTGCGGAGACAAATAAGGAGGAATTCTTACAGCTTGCCAGCTCTTGCCACACACACAACTCATGAAGTTCCAAATTATCTACGATTCTCAGTAAAATAAAAATTATTACCTCAAAACATTCTGAAAATAATCAAACGCACATCTACAAATTGCTTTCACAGATTATGTTTGGAGAACTTGGTGTTCGCACAAACGGACTGCAACTTTTCCAACAGCGCGTGTGTGTGTGCGCATGTGTGTGTATGCGCCTGAAGGCGGACATCTGCATGCCATGTTGATGATTCTGGTCTTCTGGTCAGCAGAAATGTGCACACTGAGGAGATGTCACATTCCCACAGCTTCTCATCCAAAGACCTAACTATTAACATTTGGACCCGGCAGACAATCAGTGGCTCCGCATCTTTTTTTCATTATTTCAAAAAAGGTAAACGAATGACTAATTGTCATATTGTCGTACAATGCTCTAAGATCATTTATATATAAAAAATGTGTTTACAGTATTTAATTGTTAATGTTTTGAATGAAACTGACAGGAGGAGCATTTATATAAAAAAAATGTGTTTACAGTATTTAATTCTTAATGTTTTGAATGAAACTGACAGGAGAACAGAAAAGTTGTTTATTTTCAAAAACTCAGTAAATCATAATATAACTTCTACCGTGTTATTATAAAGCTTATTTTCAGTTTATGTCCACACTAAATTATATAATCAAAGACCACACAAAAGTGTGATTGCTGTCCCGTTCCGAATGGAACAAGTGATTTAAAAGAAGACCTCTTCTGAAGAAGACCTCCTCTTGTGAGCCTAGTGCCGTGGGAGAAAAGAGTCCTGGAGTGCCAGTGATGAGGAGGTGCCGTATCTTCTTCACCACTGGGCAGTGGCCCTGTCACAGACAAAGTGGCAGAGCGGGAGATGGGAAATCATGATTTGGAGTAAAACCACCTCCTTGGGGAACAGGGTGTCAGCAGAGATTGTGGTGCAAGCCGTGGCCCACACAGCACCACAAGGACGCCGCAGAGACCCTGCGCTCCTCTGGATCACAGGCCTCAGGCCCCGCCGGCCTCTCTGTACATATCCAGTTACTAATCTACCAGTCCTGACCAATGATGCTGGCCGCCCAGTGAGCTGAATGGGGGTTCGCCTTGTGACAGCGACCAGAGTAAATCCAGCCCAGCTGAGCGCCTTTGGGAACGGGAAAATAAAAGGAGGATTGAAAGAGCCAGAAAACGGATGGAAGAACAAGCTCGAAGAGTGGTCAGGAGACAGAGAGCGGTGTGGTCAGACGTGGTCACCTAACAGCTGGGACATGGGAATGTTCTCCTCTGGGAGACTGTGACCCTGAGGAACAAAGGCTTTGTGGTCATGTTGTGCATGTCAGGGAAGGACAGGAAATGCTGACTTTTTCAGAGGGAAGCACTGAAACCACCCAGTGGGAGGTTTTGGTCGTTTATGGCACAACCGCACTGTCAAGAATCATAACGGCACTCACTCAAAACAGAAATGACAACTCCGGGTTGCTATAATTGCCTCTCATATAATCAGAAGGATCCATTGCCGTAGAAGAGCTAGAGTCTATTGTTTGACGAGCAGAACTTTGATTTGCCTCTAGTTTGTTCAACTCACCTACACTGCAAACAACGACGAGGGACGGAGGTCCACGCCAACACATGAACATGTAATCTCCAGAACAACATGTTCGTTACAGAAGTTGCCCTGAACACACTGTTGCTTAGACATGGAGACACAGTCAGCAAAGACATTTGTTTGTCTTTGTGCTCGTGCAGCTACATCTTCATCATCCCCAAATTTCAGGCAACCGTGTCCTTTCTCTTTCTTTTCATTACTTGGCAAATTTCAGGCAACCGTGTCTTGTCCTTTCTCTTTCTTTTCATTACTTGTTTTCTTTTTTGTATATTTTTAATTTATTTGTTTCTTTACATCTTTTTGTTTCCTCTTTCCTGTTACTATTTGATAGATACTCTAGATCCACTTTCTCTCTTCATGACTTTTTTTACTTTCTCCTCCCCTCCATTCTATTTCCCTCCCATTTTTTTCTGTCCTCCTGTCAGTGTCGTCCCATCGGTGTCAGACCTCCCAGGTGGGCACAGACACAGGTAGATAGATACCATGGTGGGGAGCTTCGAGGCTGTCGGCTTCCTGACGCCTGACCTGCCCCCCCCCCCCCGTGCACGCTCACACACACCTCGCCTCAGGGGGGTCAGTGTCATTGTTGACATTGGACACACGGTTGTCTTGGTGCAATATTAAATCTTCTCATTTGATTTGGACTATAATTATGTCGTAAAAACAAACTGGCTGTGAAGCTGTGGCCCGCCAGTGTGATCTACTTTCATCAAGTGCAGACTGGCTTAATTATAGAGTGCGCCGTACACCCATCTTTCACTGGGCAGCTTTTCCTGCTGCTTCTTTAAGCCATCACATTCTTTTATTGTGTGTTAATCACAAGGCAATTGGGCCGTTTGCAGTGGCTGGGGGTAGATTTTAACACTGGTCTGTACACATCCTGCATGCTCTGGAGGAAAAAAAAGACTCATGTTAAGAATTGTGCATAGCATTCGTCTATTTTCGCGGAATACTTAATGATTGGCTTTCACTCACACAAAGATATTCAAATGCTGAAAAATGCTGACAATAAAGGATTTGGTGTTCTTTGTGTCAGCCCTAGTGCGAGTAAAGACAGATAAAAAGGTAGCCTGGACAATGGATGACCAAATCTCATTAAAGAAATCACAAATGTGGATGCCTGCAAATAAAACTTCCTCGTTTGGCCACTTGGATGTTTCTGTTACATTATTTTAACAAGAAACCGTAAATCACTTGAAGAAATCACACTCAGTATGGAGAGCTATGAATGTTACGAGCAGCTGATTTCCTCACTGCCATGGCTTTTTCAGCCAGACATTTAAATTCCATGTTTATTTAAGCCTATTTTGCCACATTGGCCACATGGCTTAGTGTAACCAGATTTCATCTTCTTGCCGGCTTGCACAGGAGGATACCAGATGGTATGGAAGGTGGCAGCATGTACAAACCCCAGGAAAAATATTTTCTACAACAGTTGGGGCATCCATTTAAATGCAAACCAACATCCATAGTTTCACACTTAATCTTTCAGCTTGGTTTAATGCCAAAAAAACGAGTCAAACGTTTAACAAACCTACCTACTGTCTAGTTGAAGCCTAAGGGTTTCAAAGGCAAAGTAGAACTAAAAAAGTCATACAAGTTACACCCTGACTTCATTAGTAAATCAGCTGATAACTGGTGGGTTTATAAACAGACAAAAAAACTTTACTAAAGGCTCAGTATTTAACTAGTTTGGATCATTTTCCATTTACCAAATTGTGCTGATCTTTGAAATCAAACTGATATTTTGAAAAAAAAAATAGTTTCAAAGCACAGATAGAGCAAAAATATTTAAGCAGGTCATTCGTTAGTTTAAAATATCATGAAATAATTGTTATAATTCATAATAATTACATTTGCACAAATGTGTGTAACAATTATATCAATAGGTGGTTTTGTCACAGGACCGGGAACTACTATAAATAAAATAAATACATTCTGGAAGAGTAGTTTGAACTTTTTTTTTTTAATCTATATTATTATTAATGTATATACTACTATCAATATGCTATCAATATTAAGCTTTGGACTGGAAATTGCAACAACTATGAATAAATAAATGACAAATAATTCCTACCTGTACTTCAGAGGAAGATGTGACAAATCAATGAACTTCCCTCCGTCCCATTCATTTTAGACGGTGGTATTGCTAGTTGCTGAAAAAAAATAGGGGTCAGTGAAACAATCACTTTTTGCCTCAATGTTTTATACATTGCCAAAACACATACCTATTATTCCAGAGTGTACAAACTTTTATAGAAAAATCACTGATGTGCTTCCATTTCATTGATATAAATTGATATAAACCTGTTACTAGGGACCTGTGAAATCTGTGGGATTAGAGACAGTAAATAAAGACAAAACAAGATAATGTTCCTAATGTGGCCACTGTGAGCAGGAGGATGGCAGTTGTTCGAGGTAAGTGTGTGTGAGTGATAAAGGATGGAGTTCTCTGGGGACTGACCCCCTCATGTTTTAATAGGTGAAGTGAAAAAGAGGGTAGACTATGAAAGCTGAAGAGGCACCAAGGGAGACCTCCATTGCTTTTGTCCCTCTCTGCTGGTCTTTTATGACAGGTTCGTCTCTGTTGTGACAGGTGTGTGAAGTGGCCACCTTTCTTGCAGTAATTGCCATTTCTCTCTTGTGGGTCATAGTTTGTCCCTATGCTTGAAAAAAAAAAAAAAAAAACAGAACATTGAACGTCCATAGACAGAGAGAAAAGTGTCAATATACTCTGCATCCCCATTTGGCCTGAATAGGGTCAACATGCTCCCTCTCCCCTCCCACCCTCTCAGCCTGAGCTGAGTGACATATTTACAGTGAAAGTAATGATACTAGATACCAGAAATGAGAGGGCTCCAGCGTGGCCAGTGGACTCAGGAATCTCTCTAATGAATTGGACAACAAAGCCCTGTTGGTATAAGGAAGAGGTATTTAGAATCGGATGACAGATATGATTTGAAAGAAAAAAAAA